CACCCCCCCCCCCCCCCATGCACACAACATGCAGAGCGAGCCTGCCCTTCCTGTCCTCACAGACACCTCACCACCACAGCAACAACTATGGCAAGATCCCCACCTGCTGACCGCTCGGGGAAAACACACACACAGCCCTGGGAGGCCCTTTAGTGTGGTTCACTTAAGTACAAGGCACATTTCACGGATCGCTCCCAAAAGTGGGAGCCTGAAGCCTACGGGAGACCTCTCTACCAGGAAAAGCTTAGGGCAAGTATTGTTTTGCACTTGGAAGGGCTGATGTTAAAGAAAAGGAAAGTGAAGGAAAACGTCTCTGCACCTCCCACCTGAGACAGACCCACCTTGTTCTTCCCAGGTTTTCCTCCTCGTCCCTTGGGTCAGAGTTCTGCCACGTATCTTCCCCAATAGGCTTCCCAAATGGCCGTTTCGGGGTTCAGCCCTGCTAACTTCCTCTCTCCGTGATGAACGCTAATCATCGCGTTCTTCCAATTGTCGGGCACAGAGGTAGCCATCTCTCTCTCTCTCACACACACACACACACAAAAGCCGCTCAGCCGCTCCCGAAACAAACCATATCCTTTTCAAAATGTCTCCAGTTACGCCATCTACCCCTGAAGCCTCAGCGCTTGTTGCAACATTCTCACAGCATTTCCAACTTCCTTCTCATCCTTTGCTTTCTTGGAGCACCTCTACGCCCATCGTTCCCATGCAGATCTCTAAAATGCTCCCGCCAGCCTGCCTCTGCTCCAGCTTCCTCCTCTCCCTTGCACCCTCAACCATTCCTTTGGGTCTCATAAGGGGTGTGTAAGGAGGAAAAAAACCCTGGGGTTTGATTGCATTGTCACAACTGCCCTCTTGTGTTGACAACCCCCCCCCCAGCAGATACTCCACCAATCTGACTGTTCCCTCTTTCCCATCCTAGAGCCTTTCACGCCATACCCTTTCTCCTACTTTCTACGAATCTTATCTTCGCATGTATCTGGGGCGCTTGGAAACCTATTTTTTTATTCTATTCCAAGCAGCGCGCATGTTGCCTCCCCAACTCAGATACACGTCGGATTTTATCCCACAATTCTCAAGGTGGGGAAGACAAAGGCACGATTGGATGCTTCTCTTCCGGGTCTAGAAGTCTCCCTCCAAGCTTGGAAGGGAATTTTGCCCAGAATGATAGGCCTGCAAGGCCAGAGAGGTACGGAAGGTACAAGAGCATCTCAAGTTGCACACATCTGGTGAGTAGGCACGAGAAGATGATTTGGGAAGCACAACCTCCTTCAGGGACGTTTGCTGCTCAAAACCCACTGAAACAAATAGTGACTAATTCCAGTTAAATCCAAATGTCAACATCTGACATGAAATCTGGATCAAAAAGTACAGGAAGCTTTTTATAAGGACCCTGTAGGAAGAGATAAGAAAAAATCAGCTTGACTTAAATATAAATATTTCTAATTTGGTTGTTCTAAACCCATGCCCTGGAGGGAAAGAGGAGAAGAGGATGACCAGCAGCAAGGGGGATGGACTCAGCTGAAGTGGCAATGGGGGCGCTGTGGAAGAGCTGAAGGACCAGGCTGGGGGCAGATCCTCCTGGAGAAAATCTATCTGTGTGGTCACGAAGAGTCGATGGCAACCTGATAGCACATAATCAATCAGTTGATCAATGCAAAGACTCAGCTCTCTTGAGGAGTCTATAAAGTTAGGAAAGGAGGAAGGAAAGAAGACGACGACCAGCAGCAAGACAGATGAACTCAGTTACAATGGTGATGGGGGCACTGTCTGAAGGACCAAATTGAGGACAGGCCAACCCGGAGAAAATCTATCTATGTGGTCGCTAAGAGCTGACAACTTGATGGCACATAGTCAATCAATCAAACTGGTGCACAAGCTGAAATGCAGCTATACTCTGAAATCTGTGCTCCGATGTTTGTAGCTTGAAATTTTGCAACCTGCGGGTTGCCCATCAAGAACCATATCCACATTTTGGAATCTGTTTAGAAAAGAAGCATAAAATGCATATCAATATCAGACTTTTTGCGGCTTTTTTTTATGGTAATGCAGAAAAGAACCTAAGTTTGGGAAAAAAATAGAGCTGAAAATGGGGACGTTTGCCCTGGCTCAAGAAGTCTGTTCACAGAAGGCTTTTAACAGAAGGTCTCCTTGGTTGGCCAGAGGTCATTCTAATGTTTCCTGCTACAGGATGGCAACATTCATCCAAGTTTAATCTGAGTTAACCCACTTTCCAGATTCACACAATAGAACTGAACCCCGAACAAAGAGGCTGTTCTTCACAACCTCCTGAGGTCAAATGTAAACATCCACCAAGCGTCGCATGTTGTGTGAACGCAGCCGTGGGGTCTTTAACTCTAGTTACGTTTGCTGCGTGGATACAGTGGGTTGGCCAGCAGAGCTACAGAAGACGACCGACTGCCTATTTCTAGTCTTTTCCAGCTAATTTGATAAGAACAGAAAGGACAACATAGTAGAGGAGAAGCAGAACACAAAGACGGGTTTTGTTTTCTGAGTTTAGTTTATTCCTCCTGGGCTGAGACACAGTTCTGTGGCTAACATCCAACCCCCTCTGCACCCTTTCTATGCAATGCACCTGGTATTCCACCTGGAGGTATTGTCTCCTCGTAGACCCAAATCCCGTTCAGATGCTTCTCTATTTTCAAAGGCTGGGAAAAATCAAGAATGTGAATTTCCAGCATATTTGCACCAGGGGCCTGTTCTGCAGAGAGAATCAAGGAGGCGGCTTCAGGAATACAGAAATGGGGGGGGGGGGGCAAAACACAGACAGTTGGTCCTGGAAGGATAATCCACTCCCCCTCTCCCCCCCCGTTTCCTGTTTTCCATGAAGCTTCTGCAGAAAATCATTCCAGATCAAAGCAATGCGGTGCTTAATGCGTTTTGATATTAATTTTGTATTAATGTATTTAGTGTGTATGTCGCATACATGTAGAAAAGGGGAGGGCTTGGATTGCCATGCTGTGACCACCATCTTTGACTCCCCCCCTCCTGGCCCCAGAGACTAACATTCAGGTGAGACTATCCAGAGTGAAATACCTTGTGGATTGAGGTAGGACCGATCTTTTGTCCTGATGCAAATTCTTCAAATCAGTTCAATTTGTGGGCAAGTGGCCAGTTGGGGAAACAGCTTTCCACCAGCCCTGACATAAACAGGGCCAAAACTACAGGCAACTTATAAAATAATTGAATTGCTCAGCCTGGAAGTCTCCAAAGACAAAGCTTTGAAGCCCACAAAACTCATTTTTAAAATCTTTTTCCCTTGATGGGGGTGGTGATGGTGGTGATGGGGAAATCTTCCTGCCTGCTCCAGGGTGGCTTAAATTTCGCCCCGTCTTTAGAGAAGCTGGGGGAAGGCTGCATTTGCCCTCCCTGGCAAGCATCTTTGGGGACTCTCCGTGTGCCAACATCGGAGCAAAGCAGTTTCCAAGGCTTGGGAATCAGAGTTTGCTCCAAAGGCTGGGGTCTTCCCTCCAGCACGGGAGCGGGAAATCCACGCCATCCAAGAATTCCTAGAATGTTTTTCAGCAGTGGGGACTCAGCCTGGCACGTGGAAAGCTCAAGCAGGTCTTTGGAGTTGGGAAAAGAGGCCACCGGGCCACCTGCCCGGCAGATTCTCATGGCAAAGGAAAATGGCTTTCTTGGGCTGCAGCTTAGAAGGAGGATCCAGAAAGTCCTGGAGAACCTCATCTGAAGGCTCTGGACGGGAGAACCGTCCCCCACGCAGGAGGAGATGGAGCAGGTGAACATGGAGGGGCCCCTCTGCCCGTCCTGTGCCACCCCTTCTTTAAATTATACCAAGACTCTGTACAAAAATAAAAAAGGTTCTCATAAGATTTACAACAAATATTAAATAAATATTCTGACAGAGAGTCCTTCGCCTGGTTCATAGCTCGTCCTTGGGGTTGATGCCCACCTTGATGGGTCCGAAGTACTCCTGGTCCAAAGCCGCAATGACTTCGTCGGCTTGGATTCGCTCCTGGAGGAAAAAGAGAAGAGACAAGCGCTGAAGGCCCAGCCAGCAGAGGAGACAAAAAGGAAGGTCATCCACAGAGTTTTCAGGGCCAGAAACTCTGACCGGGTCTGGAAGATGACCCTTGGGTTTGTGCCAGGAATAGGAAATTTCTTCTCTTCCCTTGTTCAGGGGATAGGAGAGCACATGACCCTTCCTTCGTTATTTCCTAAGGAAGTCTGCATTAATTATAATTAAAGTATCTCAGTGAGAGGTTTTCAGTGGCCGTTAAGCAGAGTTTTGAAGCCTTAGCAGCTTTTTCTCCCAACCATGGATGTCCCTGTCTTGAATCATCCAGGGCAGCGAAGAGCCTGGATTAATTGTCATTATTTTGTGGAGCTGATGAGAGAGGTTATCACAGTCTTAAGACCGACTCCAGCTGAAAAGAGACCCTGGGGAGCCTGTTCCTGGTTAATTCAACTGCTCAGAAACTGGGCCCAGAATCCCAACATTTCAGATGATGCCCACCTTCATGACTGGGGAGACGGGCATCAAATCCCGCTGGCTCACAGGTTCTGCCTCTTGCCAGTCTTATGAAAGATCTAGTTCCTTGTTTGGTTTATTCACACCCAAAATGGACCTCAGGATGTCGGGTTCCTCTTCTGTAGACTCATGAGGATCAAGGTCATAAGTATCCAGTAGAAGCCACAATGATGTCATGCCCAATGACGTCATTCCCAGAATGATGTCATGTGTGACTTCATCATGGGTTCCACTGTGGTACGCCCTTGAGCTGGGTCATAGCTGGCAGGCAGGAAAAACTGGACAATCGGACACTGTGTGGCCAAGGTTAATTTTGGGTTTAAAAGTTGAGTTGTAGCAATGTTTATATAGATGCAACTATTACATCTATATTGCAGCAAAGAATAGCAATTCAAATGTCCTTTCCTTTTTCTTTTTCTTCTTCTTTTTCTCTTCCTATTGGCTGGTTGGTTGGTTTTGCTCTATTTAGATTTCTATATTTTGTTTTGTCTGAACAGTATTCCCAAGTTGGGTTGTTTTATTTCCATTGGCAACTGTAAGAAAATACAATCACAATTTTTTTTTTTTAAATCGCCACCTCTGACAGCAAAATAAGTCAAAGAAACTCTCAAGCACCCCGAGAGTAAGACAGAAAAACAGAACTTCCTCTTACAGGGGAAGAAAACTTGATATATTGCAAGACAGATTTTGCGAAGGGTGTTGATTTTTAATCATCTTGCCTTGCGGAGGCTTCACTATCTTGAAGATGTTGAGCTGCTTCTGTGGAGCTCCTTTGCTCTATGTAAACCTTGAGTGGATCTAATAAAAACATTGCTCCGGACGGTTTCTTTCCCACCTCCATCGCTGCAAATCTGCTTTGCTTTTCCTTCCCCCTTTAGTCAACGCGTGCAGGGAAAAAAAATCCTGCTTAGTTTTTCAGACTGAAGAGGGGGAAGAACTTTTCATCCTGACCTTCCTTCACAATTGGTGCAGCTGTGAGAAGAGGCGGTGGAGGGAATCCCACCTTACAACCCCAACGGCCTGACGCCAGGTCCATGCCAGTTTCGCTGGGCTGGCATTGTTGCAGGCGGAATCTCTGCTGGCAGAGAGAAATCTCGTGGCTAGCTGCTGGAAGGAGCCTTCTTTCCAGCTTCTCTCACGCCTCTGAACCCCTGGGAATCTTCAACGTGCTTTTCTTCCCACAGCAACGTCCCAGGATTGTCCTGGCCATCATTCCATTTTCTGGAATAGTGTTCCCAAACTGGCACTAGCCAGATACATCTGGCAGCCATCCCCAAATCATCCAGGCTGGAGGACTAGCTGTCAGCTTGGGAGAGTTAATCTGGTTTTTTTGGAATTCCCTAGAAATCCTTTACAGGATGGCAGATGCTGGGTGCTCTGGGGGTATCGTGAGGACACCCCCAAACTGAACATTGGAGTGAAAATGAGGTCAGCCAAACGTCCGCATGTCTTAGCAGCCCCATGGTCAGAGATGCACACCAGTTTTTCACGGGTTCCCTTGGTGTGTGCTTTTACCACTTGGGGGCGCTCTTCTACAGCGGATATTTCCGCGTCCTCCTAATTATGATAAAAAGTCAGAAGTAGCCGTGACTGCAGCTGTTTATAAATATCATATATGTGTACGCTAAACATCAGAAGACGTCTAGGAGCATCTTTTCAGACAAACACACATTATTCAGAGGCATCAGATGCAAAAGCTTCCGCCTTGAGATAAAATGGGTTCGCCCGGAAAGCTGCTCCCGGACTCCTGATGTTTGGCTAACGCGGACGAACCCGGCTCTCTTCCTACAGTGCGTCCCGTTGCAGTCCAACTTACAAGTTCCCGGTAAAGAGGGTTGAGGGTGAACCACAAAGCCACTGCGCATCGTTGACCTCTGGTGACGGCCTTTACGCCATGCGGATTCTCTCCACCAGAGGAAAAGCTGATCATCCGCCCGCATTTGGGCTTGATTGAGGCCTGGGAAGAAGACAAAAACGGTAAGAGGAGCTTGGGTTGGATCAGGCCCCAGCTGAGCAACCTGTTTCCTATCAGGTATGAATGGAGGGGTGGAATCTACAGACCTCCTTTCCATTAAAATACTGAAACAGTTGAGCATAGGCCTCCGATAGAAGCTTTGATGACGTTACATGCATCATGATATCATGCAAATGCGTGATGACATCAGTACGCATATGATATCACTTGCCCCCTTTCTGTAGAGCAGTGTTTCTCAACCTTGGCCACTTTAAGAGGTGTGGACTTCAACTCCCAGAATT